GGTAACTCTATCAAGTTTTATGGACTTGATATATATTCTCAATCCAACTCATAACCATTTGATTCACCAATAACTCAACTTTCTTTAAACGTTTTACGGAAATCATATTTACCGCTTATTCAATTTCTCTTACTTAAATCAACAACGATTTAAACTATTTAATGCTTAGCTTAAATATTTCTCATTTATTTAAGCTTACCTGGAGAACCTCAAAATCATCACTAGATTCAAAAATCTCCTCTGGATCCCCATCCAATTCGACTTTTCTTGTAAGTCGTTCAAACTTTTTAATCGATTCTTCCAATTCAGAATCTTCATTCAAAACTGAGGCATTTCTTCCACAAATAATGGAGAAAAATTCCTAACAACATCCACCCTTCTAAGGTATTTTACATAAGTCATATCGATTACTTTTTGTCGATTTCAATCTCGACTTTCTTTTCAACATTTTCAAATTTCTTACCTTTGTCTTTAATTCCAACATCTGAACATAGTCAGAATCATCATACATTAGTAAAGAGTAACTTTACTCTCAATAAGCATCATCACAATATATATACAACTATCAGTAATTTTTTACATCCTAGTGGCATGTATACACTTTTTAATTCAAAACAACCTCAGTTTAGTCCTAGAATCGGCTAAACCTGTAGCTATGATGCCAATAAATGTAACACCCATAACCCGTATAATTATACCTATATAGATTATAGATGTCACCCAAATTTAAGTAAAATTTTTCCTATTCAAAAGCGATTTAAAATTTATTTTCTTAAAATGGTAATTGATATTATAAAAATATCATATCATATAAATTATGTTTCATTATAATGAATTTAATTCAAAAGTTTTTTTATGAATAGTGATGAACAGTACCATGAACAGTGATGAACATTACCCGTGAATAGTGAATAGTGCATCGATGCACTACAGTAACGTGAACAGTGCATCGATGAATCAAAACATCGAATTAATATTGTGCATCAATTCACTGCTACAGTGCATCGATACGCTACAGTAACTGCTACAGTAATTTCATCATTATACAAAACTCATAAATTTACCATTTTGTTTCTAAATTTGTTCAACAAAGCAAATAAACATTAATAATTACATGCCACTAATTAAGTCTACATTACATCTTAGGATGTCTTACTGATATTGAAATATACTCCTCGATGCTTGATGTCATTCCGGACTCTTTATTCTACTACTAGTTTTTTACCTACGCCTGAAAATCATCACACGCTAAGTATATACTTAGTGAGGCAATTAAAACAATATACAGTGCAATACAATTCATGCATGAATTTCAATGTCAATTTCAAAATGCCATAAAATCATTTTATTTGCATATCCAATATTTTACCATTTATTAACCATAAGCTCATAAGCTTATTTTACCAAAATACTTACCATTAATCCATAAGCTCGTAAGCTTATTTTACCAATGTACTTGCTATTTATCCATAAGCTCGTAAGCTTATTTTACCATTATACTTACCATTAATCTATAAGCACGTAAGCTTATTTACCAATATACTTGTCATTTATCCATAACAATGTACCATAGACAATAACCATAAACAATAGACAATAGCCCAATATACAACCCTGAGGACCCTGGGTACACGAGTCAAATATAAGCACCGTAGTGCTAATTCGTATGACACATAAGGTTGTGTACACCATCTGTACTAGGTATCATTAAGTACAGTCCCGTATGGCACATAAGGTCGTACCCACCATATACACTAGGTATCCTTTAGTGTATCCCGTATGCAGCCTGCTGCTGGACTCTATGGTATGCCAATTATACCCTGTCCCTCAAAAACTGACTTGGGCGTACAGTCTATTTTATTTAATCCATCCATGGCAAAGTATATTATCAATATTTAACATTGGGCAGTTCATACCCGAAACATTCATGGTAAAATATTACATTTTTCATTAGCAATGCATTTTGATTTCATACCATGACATTTCAATGTCATATCAAAGTTATAAAAAATGGCATATATCATGTTGATATAAATAAGGTTGACTTATCGCAAGTCTTCCTGATGATGTATAAAACATCCATGTATAATTTCATGCATGTATTGCACTCACCTTGACACTTTATAAAATCCACAATATGAGCATCACTATTGCTCCACAATAAACCCTCTTGATTTGCTTCAATCGCAAATCAATCATAATCTGTATAATTCACAAATTCATAATAATACATATGTTAGTATTATACTAACATAAACATATATCATAACAACTCCATTTCTACCAAATATTAAACACTTAATAATTCCTTTTAACATTGGAACCAACCTTTCCAATTTACACAAAATAGTCATTCACCATTTTATCACTTAAATTCTTAATACCAAAAATTCAGCATTGAATTTATTACCATTCAAATGCTTTTAAAAGGCATACTTACATTTAAGTACCCCAACTATGAAAATGTTGTACTTAATTCACAAATCTTTTCAAACTTCCAAAATAGTCATATTTCACATTCTAACACTCATTTTAATTCCCAAACAACAATTTCCAGCATAGTATATATACAATACAACACTTTCACAATAACCCATCAATTTTCCAAAATTTATGAATTAATCCCTAACTTTTCAAAACTTACAAAATGGTCCCCAATTTTTCTAAGGCTTGTAGCATACTTCCTTCATCATTTCCAACCCATATATAATTTTCCCATAATTTTTCTCACTCAAACCATTCATGGCCAAAATTTAAAGAACAAGTTGTAGAAAGATTAAACATGTTCTAATCATCTTTCATGCTTGAATATGAATATACAACATGTAAATCATCAAGATTTATCTTCAATTTCATGAATCATATCATGAACATAAACCCTTAGATTTGTGATCTTTGAAATCCAACAAAAGTATAAAGCAATATTGGTACCAAATGATAGCGTTTTTCACTTAGATCATTTTCCTATCTCACGACATAACTCTAATTCCGAACGAATTAGCTCAAAAATGGAAAATAAATATTTTTCTTACCTTGAAAGCTTCCTCACGTGAATATGCTGTAGAAGAACACTTTGGCATGATATTTTTTATTGATATCATGCTTATCATCTTTTAATTATCATATTTAATCATTAACTTGAGAAAATACCAATATACCCTTAATATAACCTCATAATTACCATAAAACTAAGATACATATTCTTATCATCTTCAAAATCAATTAAATATCAGCATTGTCATCTTTTAATAGTCAAATATGAACAAATTAATTATCCACTTTACCGTTTTGCCCTTGCAATTTCCAAAAATTACAATTCAGTCACTTTAATCAAACAATTCAAATTAAACATGAAATTAAACCATTAAATATTATTTTCTAACATTTTAAAAATGTGAAAATAATATTTTTATTTCTTATTTTCGTGACCCATTTGTAATTTTTCTAAAATTACATTTTGGTCCCTGAACTATCCAAAGTTTATTCTTTGATCACCAAACTTTACCAAATTTATAATTTGGTCATTAAATAAATCCATTTATGAAATAAAATTCTTTTTGGGAAAATCACAACTTAATTCCTTAAACTTTTTCCAATTTTCTATTTTGACCATCAAACTTTCAAAATTTACATTTTGGTCATTATCTAAATTTTTGGGGTATTACAATAAGTGCACAAACTATATCCATTTTCCCAAATAGGTGCCTAAACTAATTTTCATCTCATCCATATGGCTAACGTTACAAACGTTACCCATTTATGTGCCTGGGTCGGTAATGATGTTAATTTCTCCGTTAAATGACATGTGTCACAACCTGATAATTTTTAATTTTTATTTAAAATTAAAAAATTAAAATTATATATTTTTAAAAAAATAGAAGACACAAAATTTGAAATAAACCCAAAACTTTGAAAACCTTTATTTCAACCCCTAAACCCATGTCGATCGCCACCTTTTACTATCGACGAAGCTCTACCCGACCTCCCCTTCCCCGATAACCAAAACCCCATGAAATCATGACTTATTGACGGTATATTGATGACGAATCAACGTTTTAAATCACTCAAACACTAGGATTAAAATCACGATTCCATGTGATTTCGACTACCAATCGATGAAAAATATTATGATGTATGAGTAAGAGAATGGCAGGGGCTACGTCGATGGCGGTGGATGTGACCGAAAAAGGCGGTGGCGGCTGATTAAAGTTAGGATTTAGGATTTTGGGGTCGTTTTATAATATAATAAAAGTTGGTGTTTTTTTATAAATATCATAATATTTTATTTAAAAAATAGATTTTAAAATTACCAAATTGTGACATGTGTCACTTAACAATGTAAATTAATGTCGTTGACTCGAGCACCTAAACAGATAACGATTGTAACGTTAGACACCTAGATGAGACGAAAATTAGTTTATCACCTATTTAAGAAAAATTGTATGATTTGGACACTTATTTTGATATTAATTCTTTCTATTTTCTCAATTTCTTCTTCTTCTAAAACCCTAATATCGTTATTCCATTCACAATTTCACCTAAATACGTGACAGAATTATACATTGATCAATAATCAACTATATTAATTTAAGCCCAGAACGTTGCCATCAATAAATACGTGTATGGCGAGAGGCTGCCAATGTTTTGGGAGATTTATGGAAGTCAAAATCGTCTCTTCTTCATCACATATTTAATTTTCTGAAATGACCTTTATCGAATCAGACTCCCCCACACCATTGACGATCGACCAGACTGGGAAATTCCGCGTCGACCCCACGTGTTACTTATACTTTGAAAACGTGTCAATAGGAGGTAGATGAATTGCTCAGGCTGCAATTATTGTACTATTATCCTTACAATATTTATTTATACTCACTATTATCTTTCATAGATTTCATTGATCAGGTTTGTTTCCAGTTTCTGCACTGTTTTCGAAATCTGGGTAGTTCTTAATTTTCATTTTAATGGGTTTTTGATCGTTGTAGTTAAATCTTTCTGCAGATTTTTGCTTTGGGATTTTGATTTCTTGGCCGTAAACCATGGATTTGAGGCATTTAAACCGTGGGCAAATCACTCTGATGGGGTGTGGAGCTTGTGTGTTGCTTACACTGCACTTCACTCTGAAGCTTGTATCGCAGCATCTGTTTCACTGGAAGAGCCCAAAGGAGCAGAAAGCTATACTGATTATCATCCTCATGGCTCCCATTTATGCTGTGGATTCCTTTGTGGGGTTATTAGATGTTCGAGGAAGCAAAGCGTTCTTCATGTTCTTGGAGTCGATCAAGGAATGTTATGAGGCCTTGGTGAGTGCCCCCCTTTTGCTCAATCTTTGCATTTGTTGAATTTGTGTTTGTTGGAATTAACCATTGGTGAATTGTGGATTGTTACTGTTAGGTGATTGCAAAGTTCTTAGCTTTGATGTATAGCTACTTGAACATATCTATCAGCAAAAATATTGTGCCGGATGAAATCAAAGGAAGAGAGATTCACCATTCATTTCCAATGACCCTTTTTCAGGTAAGTGGGTTTAATTGCACTCAACGTTCTCAAATATTGTTCGGATTTTTTAAACATGTCAGATTGAAGTTGTTTATGTGGTAGGTACACATTAGTTTACAATTTATTCATGTTAGATTTGAGTTAACATTTAATGCTCGTGATCAAGCTAAAGAACAACATAATGGATACGATATTATACTTCAAGGACACGATTAAAATCTAAGTTATTATTTAAGGATGTCTGATGTAATTAACCTTTTAAATTAATACATGCGTGCTTCCAACAAATTACATTATTAATCACATCTCTTTGATCCAGCCTCGAACGGTTAGGCTAAACCACCGAACACTGAAGCTTCTCAAGTACTGGACATGGCAATTCGTCGTCATCCGGCCGGTGTGTTCGATCTTGATGATAACACTGCAACTCCTTAAGATTTATCCTTTATGGTTGAATTGGACATTCACCATCCTCCTCAATGTGTCTGTTTCATTAGCCCTATATTCTTTGGTAGTCTTTTACCATGTTTTTGCAAAAGAGTTGGCACCTCACAAGCCACTCGCAAAGTTCCTGTGCATCAAGGGGATTGTTTTCTTCTGCTTCTGGCAGGTGAAAAAATTGTTCTCTTCTCATCAATGCCAAACACATATCTATATTCGACTCTGAATGTCCGAAGCCACCGTCGTGTTTTCTTTCCCGGTGTTCTGTAACTTCTGTTGTTAAATCTCATGTTGAACTGTGATCATCGTGGTTTTATTAATGGCATTCATTGGTGGCATGCAGGGAGTGGTACTCGACATACTCGTCGCGATGGGCATCATTCGATCACACCATTATTGGTTGGATGTAGAGCACATTCAGGAAGCTCTTCAAAACACATTGGTGTGCGTAGAGATGGTTGCTTTCTCTGTTGTCCAGCGGTATGCATACAATGCTGCGCCCTATAGTGGAGAAACTGAAGCTAAGACAAAGCTTGACAAGAAAACTAAATGATATTTTGGATGCCCCGAGAACCCAAGTTGTACTAGGAAAAGATATATATACATACGTACATATGTGTATGTATGTATTTAAACAATGCATGTACTCTGTTTTCTATTGAAACAACTGTTAGTGTTCGAATAGAGCATTCGGAACATAGCAAATTAAATGAAAAGGATTGTCCGATAATAAATTTGTACGAGGTTTATTTCGAATTAATTAATTAATAAATTATATATTAATTATAAAAAATCAAACTTTAAATTATCCTTTTTAAACTACCACCGACTTGTTATCTTATTTGATCTTTAAGCTCTGTGTTGAAAATCGGATCGATCGGTCGGTTCAATCGGGAACTGTTCTTTAGTCCGGTTCAATCTAAAACGGTTGAACCGCTATTAGTGAACCGGTCAGAACCACTGAACCGTTCGAACCGGACCGACTGAAAACCAAAAAAACAGAGAAAAACCGGGATTTTTATTTTTTTTTAAAAAAAAAATTAAACCGAACAACGTCGTTTGTTAAACGAGCCAAGTCGAACTCGAGTATTGCTGATCTCGACTCGAACTTGAAAACTTTAAAAGTAAGCTCAACTCAACTCAAACTCACAAGCTAAAAATTATTAAGTTTAACTCAAACTCGAAATATAATATTGAAACTTGAATTCAAAAAAAAAATTAGAAGCTCGATTGAAGCCTAAAATTCGAGCTTGATTGAAGTGAAAGAATAGTTCACTCAATGCTCACCCAAAGGCTCCATGATTTTGAATGTCAAATTACCTCTATTATTTATAGAAGTTAGTTGTGATGCGCTTCTATGTTTCTTAGCAATGTGAGATTGTTTTGTTCTCATATTTTTACTCTTTAGACTTTTAGGATGCTCTTCTATGTTTCTTAGTCATGTGAGATTGTTTTTTTTAAAGAAAAATTAAACCAAACAATATCATTTTGTTATGATTTTTTTAACCCCAAATTTATTTTTAAATTATAGTTATATAATTATATTTATTATTTAATATGTTTTACCTTAAATATTATGTTGTAGTTAATTTGAATCATTTTATTTCACTTGATTTTATGGTTTTTAACTTATATATGTTATGACTTGCTTTGAATATGACTTGTGATATAAAAAATTATTTTTTATTAAATATTTTTAATATTTTTATTTAATTTTTTAAATAATTATGACGTCATCCGATTCTTCCGACCGGACGAATCAGTTCAATTGAACCAATAAACTGATAGTATGACCGATTCGCTAATCGTTCCGGTTCTGAAAACCATGCCTTTAAGCACACAAGAGAACGGTTTGAGAATAAAAAGGGGCAGCAAAGGAGGGAGCCCCAACTTTGATGAGTGTGTAGACACGCCAACCAAAGACAAATAGTAAAAGCAACCGTATAGCCAGCCAATTTAACAAATCAAAAGATACCCACTTTGACATTTCTCATTACCCTTTTGATTCTCCTCCTCTTCCTTCCTTTCCTTCTCATTCTGGGTTTCCTCTAATTCCAGTAAAGATTGAATTTTTCCACTAAAAATTTATCAACTTTCAGCTGAGAAAACATAGACAGCTTCGGACCAAAGAGGAGAAGATCGTTTTGCAAAAATCATGAACCAGAAGGCTAACGTTTCTAAAGAACTCAACGCTAAACACATAAAGGTTCTCTCTTTTTGTTTTTCTCTTGCTACCCATTTAAGGTTTAGCGTTTATCTTTTGCTCTAGTTGGTGAAGTATGGATTTTGAAGTGTTTGATGAAAATACATGGTTGCAGGCTGCGTTTTTTGCACACCTTTTTTTGTTGATGAATTCTACAAAGCAAAGGCCATAGTTGAAGAATCTGATTTCTTTTTTTTAAATCTTTGAAACTTTCTCTGATTTTGGAAATTTGGGCCTTATGTTTGTTTATTGAATTAACCCTGTGCCTTGGAATAGTTTTGAAGTATTTGTCTTGTATGATTTCCAGTTTTCAATAGAAGCAAGTTGCACTGCACTTTACATTTTAGCTGTCAGTTGTGTTTGCTGATGCCTTGGTGTCTTAAATCTTTGGCCCACAGAGATAAAGTTGGCTGTAGCTCATCTGGAAGTTGGTGCTGCCAACTTGATGTCCATCTTTCCTTACTCTTGCAATATTTATCCTTACCCATGTTCCTAAATTTATTTGTATTGGGCCACTTATTATATAATTTGTAAAAGTTATACGAATTAAGTGATATGCAAGAAAACCATGTCGAAAGTTTCTCTCATTAGTGTTGGTTTAACTTCGATTCACGATGATTGTTGTATTAAACATTGTCAATTTGGCCTATTTGGTGCCCTGCTGCAGATATTGGATGGCCTTCTTAAGTTACCTGGAAATAGAGAATGTGCAGACTGCAAATCCAAGTAGGTATCCGGTAACAATGTTTCTCTTAGAAATGCTTTACTGTCCCGAGTTAGTGTTAAGGACTTGGACTCGAATTTATAATGGCTTGTCTGCTTTGCAGGGGGGCACGATGGGCTAGTGTCAATCTCGGAATATTCATTTGCATGCAATGTTCAGGGGTCCATAGAAGTCTTGGAGTACACATATCAAAGGTTTTGTTTATGTTGTTTCACTATGAAGTTTGCGGGTTGAGTTTGATTTTCTTGTTAACATGTTCATGGAATTGTATTTGATTCGTTCAGGTGAGATCTGTGACTTTAGATACATGGCTTCCGGAACAGGTTTCTTTTATCCAATGTAAGCTCCATTGTTCATTTCTTTGATTACCACCCCAAATAAAATGCAGGTGCTGGTTGTGATCTCGTTTTCTTCTTTCTTGCAGCCATGGGGAATGAGAAATCGAATACTTACTGGGAAGCGGAATTGCCTCCCAAGTACAACAGAGTTGGAATTGAGAATTTCATTCGTGCAAAGTACAACTTCATAAAAATAAAACTACCCATCACTTTTAAATTTTATGCTTAATTTTCTTCCATTGGAACTTGTCAAACGTAATTTTTCTTAAGGATGCTTATTTTCTTCATTAGGTATGTGGAGAAGCGATGGATTCCCAGGGGTCGAACGGAAAAATCACCTCCACAAATAAACAAAGAAAAGGAATCACTTCATAGACTAGGAGCTATAAGTGGTGTTGGGTATAAGAACTTGAATAATGTGAATCCCATTTCTATGGATAAGAAAATTATTCACCCACCTGTTATTACAAATAACAGCACTCCTACTACGAAAAGTTACTCGCAAGTGAATGTAAATGTTCCTCAGAAGGTAAGAATAGCCTTTGTTCGGTCTTACACACTGATTGTCAGTAAATGCATTTGCCTTTTTACAGCACTGCGGTTAACTTTGCTTTGCTGTCTGTCAGATGGAGGAAATACATGTGTAGCAAATGAACTACCCTGTATGGTTTGCCTATCTTTCTTTTAGTGGGCATTGAAATGTTTGAATACTTACATCAGTGTCTTTTTGATTCAATGTTGATGCAAGTTATTTTGACTCATAGATTATATTGCTTCGATACGAAGTGAAAAACCAAGACAGTATGAAACTTTTTGTTGCTTAGATCAAGATAAGTAGCATAAATAACACTGTAGGATCTCTTGTGAAATGTCGAAAGCTAGATGCTAGAAGATATCCAAAATGAAAAACATTTTGAAGTAGTATCTTTCTTTATTACATATGTGATTGTGATAGAGAAATGAACAACGATACTTCCTCTACAGGTTAAACCCGATACAAGTCCACAAGAACTTCGACATAACTCTGAACCATCAGCAACAACGCCTGAATCTGTGAAGCAGGAGGTTACTAGTACCCCATCAGTCTCAAAGGCTGAATCCGTAAAAGCAGGAGGTTGCCCATACCCCATCAGTCCCAAAGGTTGAATCAATGAAGCGAGATGTTAATACTGCAACACCCATTGCATCACCCAAAATCGATTATGCTACTGAACTTTTCAATTTGCTCTCTATGGGGGATTCTAGAGAGAATGACTTCGGTTCAGCTCATGATAGTTCTTTGGTTGGTTTGCAATGTATGCTTCCTGCCGTCTCGAGCTTATTGCTACATAGTTTCTTGCTGAGAGTTGTTAAACATTGTACTTTACATTCACTGTTGCTAACCTTTGGCTTATTGCTTTGCACTTTGTAGCAATCGAAGCAAAGCCCTCCAAGGAGACAAGTGATTCATTAAACTCAAAACCATGGGAAGATGCTAAACACAGAAATATAAATCTCTTTGAAAAGGTAAGCTGTCTCTTGGTTGAAATTCGTAACCGTATAATGAATGTTGACTATTTTTTTCAGGACAGGTAGCTTCATTCGAGGAAGTTTGAAGTGGAGACTTTACTGTTCGGAATTTTAATTACTTTTTTTTTTGCAGTCAAGTATGGTGTCTCCTTTTTCCATCCATCCACAGCAGCTTGCTATGCTTCCGAAACAACAGTCCGTCACGAACACTACTGTGAAGCCTAATGGTGGATCCCAACCCTTCCCTATCAATTTTCCTCAATTCAGCTCCAATGGCTTTCACTCTCCTGCTCCTAGTTTTGGAAGCATTGGCCATCAAGTTCCTGGAATGGTAACGCCGGTTGCTTGTCAACAGAGTCATATTCAGGTTTGCTTGCAACATCCTTCCATCATTGTTCTTTTCCCAGATTGTAAGTTCTCCCTGAGACTATCTCGTCATGTTAATTACCTTCCGATACCAGATGGGAAGCAACCTACAGATGCACCCTGCAGCAAATTCAGTGAATTCTCCAACTTCCAGGTGCGTACGGAAATTGTTTCAGCTCAACGATCCTAAACTTGCTTATTTCTAACTATTATGTTATTGATCGATTTCATCGGCTTTAGTTTTAAAGATTTGGATGAGTTCAAAAGCAAACTGGTCCTAGTAACTGAACATGCAGTTTCGTAATTCGGTATATAAATACTGGAAATGAGGGCTCATTAGGAAAAGTTACATGGTATATAGATGATTCGATGCCATTGGCATTTCGGTGCACTGTTGCATTGGTCCTAATACGAAGAGTTATACACGAAACCTGTTATTCAAATACATTTCTTGTTTGATTAACATTTAATCGCTCAACTCGCTATATACCCTGAATGTGAAACACTCCTCTCCAATTCGGTTTTACTTGCAGCTTCTCCGGCACAAGGCCAGTAGTTCCATCGTCAGCAATCAGCATGAAAAGCATCGGAG